GATCTGTGGGGCAGTGACCTTCCCTGAGCTCTCTCCAGATAGATCAGCACCAAAAGGCCTGGCCAGCCAGTTGGGTTTTGTGAGTATGCATGAAGTGTGTGAGTGCGTAAGTGTAATGCTTGCTTGTTTATAGAGCACGCTTGTTGCTAGAGCAATAAAAACTGAAGCTTTGTTTTCAGTGCGCTGGAGTCCTGTCTCTTCCTCGATACCGGAGCTTGAAATGACCCCAGGGCATCATTGGTAAGGAGACAGGGAAAGAATCTGATCACTTCTCCCCTCTTTTCCAGCTCCCTTAGAATTTATTTCTAACACATACCACCCATATTGTTGCAAGCAAGCACTGTGACAGGCGTGGCTCGATTCACAAACGGCCTGAAAAGCATCTTCTCACTGTTTCTACACCATGCATAACTTTATAAACCTCTATCATACCCCCATTATCTTCTTTTAAAAACTTAACTAGTCCCAGAATGCCCTGCACTGGATAGTCTAGACTAGCGTGATCTTGTCAGATCTCGGAAATTCAGCAGGGTCAGCTTTGGCTAGTATTTGGAGACCACCAAGGAATACCAGGGATGTGATGCAGAAGAAGTAATGACAAACCACCTCCGAATGTCTCTTGCTTTGAAAACCCCCACCAGAGGTCACCATAAGTCATCTGTGACTTGGCAAAAAAAAAGTCCAGGACTTCTTAGCTTTCCCTCACAAGAAAGGTGCTCCAACTCCTTAATCATCTTGGTTTCCCTCTTCTTCACTTTTTCCACCTTTACAATTTCCTTTTTCAGATACAGCGACCAGAACTGTGCACAGTACTCCAAGAGAAGCCGCACCACTGATCTATACAGGGTCATTACATTACTGGCCACCTTATTTTCAAGTCCTTTCCTGATAATTCCCAGAATACTGTTGCCATTTTCATCACTGTAACACACCAAGTTGCCAATTTCATTAGACGATCCACAACTCCAAGATCTCTTTCCATTTCAGCCAGGTCAGTCACCATCAGCATATATTTAAAGTTAGGATTTTTTGTTCCACCTTACACTTACCTATAGTGAACTTCATTTGCCACATAGTGATCCACTACTTAATTTACAAAGATCTTCCTGGATATCTTCACCATCTCCTCTGATTTTCGCCATCTATATAATTAGGTATCATCCATAAGCTTAGCCACTACACTGCTCATCCCCAATTCCAAATCATTTATTAATTCAATAGCACCAGTCCTAATACCAATCCTTGTGGGACCCTTGGGACTTCACTTTGCTGCAAGAATGGTTTCTTTCTGTTCTCTGCTTCCTGTTGCTTAACCAGTTTTTAATCCACAAGAGGACCTGTTTTCTTATCGCATAACTGCTAAACTTATTCAGGAGTCTTTTGTGAGATACCAGTTTGGTGTAGTGGTTAAGTGCGCGGACTCTAATCTGGGAGAACCAGGTTTCATTCCTCATGCCTCCACTTGCAGCTGCTGGATGACCTTGGGCAAGCCATAGTTCTGTCAGAGCTGTTCTGAAAGAGCAGTTCTTGAAAGAGCTCTCTCAGCCCCACCAGCCTCACAGGTGTCTGTTGTGGGCAGGGGAAGGGAAAGGAATGGAGTTTGTAAGCTGCTGTGAGACTCCGGGTGAAGAGCAGGATATAAATCCAATTTCTTCTCTTCTTCTTCTTCTTCTAACTTGTCAAAATTTTCTTGAAAGTCCAAATGTATGATTTCTACAAGATTACCCTTATCCACACGTGCTATCTTTAATAACAGTTCCTACTAATTTATCTAGAATAGATGTTAGACTAACTGGGCTCTATTTCTAGGATCCGCTCTGGACTTCTTTCTAAAAATCGGGTTAATTTTCCAGGGCTATTTTTCAGGCCTCTGGTACAGAAGTCAATTTTAGTGACAGGTTACATATACCAATTGGTAGGTCAACCGGTTCGCATAGAGTTGCTTACAAACCCTTGGGTGTATGCCGTTCAGACCTGGAGATTCATTTGTTTTCAACTTGACGAGTAGTCCTAGAACTTCATCTCTCATCACCTCATTTGACTCAGTTCTTTCAGACACCTCCCTGAAAACAGCACCTCCAGTGTGGGTACATGCTCCATATTTTACAAAGTCAAAACAGATGCAAAGAATTCATTCAGTTTCTCTGACCTCTCCCATCTTCCTTAAGCAATCCTTTCACTGCTCAGTTATGCCAAGGCCCAACTGCCACCATGGCTAGTTGCCTGCTCCTCGTATATTTGGAGAATTGCTTATTGTCTATCTTGATTTTTAAGCAATGTATACCTTAAATTCTCTATTTTCCTCACCTGATTGTCAACTAGCCTTTTTTTCACCAGAACTTCTGATACTTTCTATTTGCCTCATTTGGGAAAGCCTTCTGAATAAGGTCTTTTGCCTTTTATGGCTTCTTTGACTTGGTCAATAATCCTTCTATACTTGGTGGTGCCATTCCTAACTTGTGTCTGGTCCTTTTTTGTGTGATTTTAAGTAGTTTAAGCTTACTAGAGAGCATCATCTAAGCATCCTGGAGAGCCAGTTTGGTGTAGTGGTTAGGAGTGCGGACTCTAATCTGGGAGAACTTGGTTGGATTCCCCAGTCCTCCACATGCAGCTGCTGGTGTGACCTTGGGTCAGTCACAAGTTTTTTCAGAGCTGTTCTCTCAGGAGCAGTCCTCAAAAGAGCTCTCTCAGTCCCACCTACCTCACAGGGTGTCTGTTGTGGGAAGGGGGAGGGAAAGGGATTATAAGCCATGCTGAGACTCCTTCAGGTAGTGAAGGGCAGGGTATAAATTCTATCTCTTCCCTTCATCTCACTTTCTTCTAACTAGTCCCCTCAATTCTGTAAAATTACCTCTTTTGCAATCAAATGTGCTTGTTCTGGATTTGGGAGGGGGCAAATTTCCACTGCTATGAATGCTGAACTTAATAGTACTGTAGTAACTGATCCCAACTGGTGCAATATAATCTACATCTTGCAACATGTCTCAAGCTCCGCTAAGAACCAAATCCAGGGTCACATCCCTTTTTCCGGTTCTGTGACTAAAGGTACCAACAAATAATTATTTATGATATATACAGACCTTGTTTCTACAGCATGACTCAAGCACACAATTTGCCCAGTCAGGGTAGTTGGTCACTCAGTATTACAACACTTCAGTCCCCTTCTCTATTCCCTTTCCTTTTGAGATCTGCCTCAGGGAAAGTGATAGTTTACCGCCACTTTTAAAGAACACTTTGGGACTAGAATCTCCACCCATAGTGATTCCACGAGGGAGTTACTCCTTTTATGTTTCCTATCTTACATGACTACACACTCTTTGATATACAGAGCAACACATCCTTCCCTGTCCTATCAAGTATATACCAAGGAATAATAGTGCCCCATTGATTTTCTTCATTCTACCAAGTTTCTGAAATGCCCACTATATCAAAACTGTCATTGACTACCAAGTACTCAACTCCCCATTGGCTTACATGCACTGGCATGCAAGAACCTGTCCTCATTTCTCTCTGTAAGAATCCCCACCTCCCTTGGCCCTTGGATTTCCTCACACAGCCTCCTTTACTGCCATTTACTACTTTACTCTCATTTTCAAGTTTTCTCACCAATAGCAACTGCAATAATACTGCAAGCGTTTCACACATCATGCTTTAGGGGTGATTCTTCAGGCTGCAAACCACAGCCTCCCCAGCTCCTGTGAGCTTATACCCAGGAGCTAGTTTAAAAGTTGCTCAGCGATCTTTTTGACACTGAGTCTGTAGTCTGGTTCCTTTTTGGTTCAAGTGCATCTAAGGCTTGGATTCAAATCCAAGCAAAAGAATAATTAAGTGCTATAATGCTTACTTGTTTATTGAAGGCAAGTATTGCAAGCCACTGCAATTTGCATTCTAAGACCCTGAAGTACAAACTTTGGCAGCATCACTAACTATGTTGTCCAGAGGCATCTAACAGTCAAAGAGATCATAGAGCACTTTATCAGAAAGGTGGCATAAGCAGGCCTGTAGCATCCTGGTCAATGGGGCCACACCAAGTCACTGCTCTGTTGGGCAACCACTGCAAGAACCCATCCCCAGTTGATCAGCAGCACAGCAGCAGCTGGAGGCTCAGAGGTATGGAACCCTGACACACCAGCCAACCACTCCACTGCGGAACTGTCAAGTGAGACCCAGTTGTGGCCATTGGGGAAGATACTCCTGGTCTCTTTCAATGGCAGCTGCCCTTGTGAGAAGCCAAAACCAGTCAGGAAGCCTGCGCAGCTATAGCACACCCTATAAAAAGGGGTAAGAGGAAGCCAATGAGGAACAGCCCCACATCTCTCCAGGCTGCCAGAGTAGATGGCCAGTGCTTCTTAAATCCCTTGCCAAAACTGAGGCCACGGGATAGCACTTGGGGTGCACTGTGGTGCGGAAAGCAGGGCCAGAAACCTCCCCTCCTACATTTACTGTGAACAACAAATGAGACTACTCCACTATATGTCATAAATCACTCACAGTATATTACAACAGGCAGAAGTCTGTATAACCTCTCAATCCTATGCAAACAGCAGTTATACCATCAATATAGTTGACCAGCTTGGACATTATTTTATTTAGCACATTTTTCATCTCACCCTTCCTCCAAAGAGTTTAGGGCAGCGTGCATCATTCTCTTCTCCTCCATTTTGTCATCAACAACCCTGTAGTGTAAGTTAGGCAACAGAGAATGGCTGGTACAAGGTTAACTAGCAAACCTCATGGATGATTGGGGATTTGAAACTGGGCCTTCCAGATCCTAGACTGACACTAACCACTACACTACCCTGGGACATCTGGCTTTCAATCTCTGCCTTGGTATGAAGCTCACAGGGTGGGGCATTGGGTAAGTCCTTCACCAGAGTTTAACACAGGATTGCTGCAATACTAATATATTGCCCTGAGAAACAGGGAGGGATAAAGTGTAACAAAAACACATCCCACACATATTTACATTCTCTTTATTATTTGTAATATTGCATTGTGTATTGGCTTCGTATGTGTGGGCATTTAAATGTGAATAACATGTACTAAATCAAAGGTGAAAATACTGCTTACAGAATTGTAAACATTTACTTCAACAAGGAAAGCTTAGAGCGCTTTCATTAGCTCTAACATAATTAAAGATATTTTATTTACCTTGAGTGCTAAAAGGCTCTTGTTAATTTCGGCACCTTCCAGTCGTGTTTGCCTGTCTGCACTGGAAGTATCAGCTCCCCGTTCATTGCCAGCCAAGTCAATCAATGAAAATTTACCATGCAGTTTTCCTTTTCTCCTGAGGATGATCTGAAACACTGCATGGCTCCGAGATGAGTGTGCATTTGCAGACGTCTGACCAGATGTTCTTTAAGAAAGAGTTGTGGTGGGGAGAACAAGATGAAATGTCACTGAATCACAAATTACTGTCATAGTACCTTCAACATTTTTCATCAGGGCTAGGTGCATTATTCCTGTGAACAGCTTAAAACACATTTCAGGCTCTATCAGAATATCAGGCAACCGAGATATTTATGCTGCAATCTTATGCAGAGTTAACACCTATCTAAACTCAAGGAATTCAACAGACTTAGGCTTGTATGACTCTGCATAGTATTGCAGCACAATTTGCTTCACAAATATAGTCTGTGAACACAAGGATGTGTCCTACCAAAAGCATCTCTATCCCAACCCTGGAAGAGCCAAAGCTACACTAATGATCAGATAGGTTGCCTTTGCTGACAGAACAGGAAGGAAGGATGATTTTGCAACCCTTCCAACTCTAGACTCCCAACTCATCCACCTGGGACTCATGATTCTGCCAGGGTCAGATGGGGCTGTTGGAGGCAGCAGGAGAGGAACACAGTGTTGGAAGTTAATCAGACAGCAGGAAGATCAGTGTGATCTAGCTGACAGCTCAGTGACAGCTACCTATCAGCAGGTGGACTGATAAGCCTGTTCTAACCGGTTATGGCTGGCACTGGACAGTGTGCAGTCACCATGACTCAGCTTGTTGCTGATTGGTGCTGCTATGTATATAAGTCTGTACAGAAGCCATGTACGTTCTGTTCGGAAGTAACAAGCGTCTGGCGAAGCACTTTGATTGTATATTCTGTGAATAAACCCTTGTATATAGTGTACCACTGGACTGTGCAGTGTGGTTACTATAGAGGGGCAGAACAGCAAAGAACTGGTAAGAGCTGGGAGGCTGGAAAGTCTGCTAAGGTGCTGCCTTGGCTTAGACTGGTCTGTGGACCGCTACACACGCTCTGCGCAACACACAGGAAACATCAACAGCCATCACATCTTTTGCTGACAGATTATGGGACCCATCCCTTTATCTGTTTCAACGTGATTTTAAATAAGAACATTTTTGTCTATTGGAAGGAGTAAGAAAGTCTGAATATTAATATTAAACTTTATCTACAGGCAGGCTTTTCAATGTGGCCTGTGTAAGCGTCTCATGGAATTACCAATACATTAAGCTGAACAGAGCACTTAACATAAAGAAAAATAGCCATTACATCACTCTCGAGACACACTATAGGGGGGAAGTTTTCCCTCCAAACTTGGAAATTTCCAAGTTTTACTATCATTTGTCTTCCAGAAAAGTGGTATTTGGGAAAAAATCAAAATATGGAAAACTATTATTTGCTACAGCTAACAGTGAAAAAAAGCAAAAAATAAAAATACCTGCAACTGTTGCCTATTTCAATGAGCTTTAGTACATCTTCAACACATTTAACCTCTCGCTCATGTAATCCCACCACCTGGACTTGCTGTTTACCATCTTCTAGAACTCTTAACTTGGTCTTCCTGTTCAATAAGTCAAAAACCTTATGGAAGCAGGATGGGGAAGAGAGGGAGAACAGATGTGTGTGTTAGCTAGGGATTCTTGGCACATCAGATTTGTTGTTTGACAAACACAATTCAGTCAAATAAGACAGCAAAGAGCAGTAAATAAGTTGATCAATTCAAAATTCTTGGTGATTTCCATCACATTAAGAAAAAAACGTTACGTACCTTTCCACTATAAATCTCAAAAAATGTTGCATATACTTGAAGTTCTAGTTTCTTATAGTTTGGTTTCTTCAACATTAAAAAGACATCTCTAGCTGTGAACAGATAAAAAATAGAAAACTGAATGAAAGAAAAAAATCTTTAGATGCACAACTACTCATCCACAGACACATGCTTGTTTCATATGTCTGATATACTCACAGGTTTCATGCATTTATGACTTAACATATTTTGGAGTAAGCCAATATAAAGAGATTTAAAAGAGGGTAGCAACAGCTAGTACATCTCAGAGGATAGAGAGAAAGGGTACTGGCCTTTCACCTAAGAAGCATATGTCCAACTTCCACCTTAATCAAGCAGCATTCATAAAGAGCTACCTCTCACTCCTTGCTACCCAGATGTAAGCATTACATTTTGTACTAAGATCAGATAGATTATTTACCTGCTAGTGCATAAATTCCTTTTGAACAGTCTTGGTTCTTTCCTGAAAAGTCACCACCCATAGTCTAAAGGTAAAACAATAAGATAAAAGGAACAGCTTGAAGACAAACTATGATCATTCACCGATGACCCTAATTTATCCTGAAATAACAGCCATTATGCAAACCAATAAGTACAGATGTTTTGTTAGCTTCCTACCAACACAAACAATTTTGAAGTGACAGTAGTATTCTTAATACCATCAATATGGATTTTCTAAACAATGATGACGGATGGAGGCAAACTATACTTTAAAATGTCCAAAATACACATACATGCTACTTACACGTAAAGATCTCTCATAACTGGTTAAGCTGCAACAAAAGTACAGCTGAATATAATTGCATAACTTAAAACTTACATGAGTTTTCCCACTGCCTGTTTGTCCGTAAGCAAAACACGTTGCCATTCCTCTTTCAAATATGGTCTCTACTAAAGGCCTTGCAGTAAACCTTGAACAAGGAAAACAGCCATTACATGTCAATATACAGCTCAATTTTTAATGACGGCATAAAGGTATCTGCCATATTTCCCTTTATAAAGACATACATTTATCCTTTGTAATAGGATTTGAATTTTCCCCCTAAGATATACTTTGTATGTTTTCTAGGCCAGCACTAGTGAGTTTAAAAAAATCTAAATAAAAGGATCAAAGCAATTTCTAAAAATGTCTACTGCAGTTAGGCAAACAGATAGCAGAACAATTTGACACAAATTATGTTCAGTGCAGCATGCAGCACCAGTAAGGGTACATTTCTGCCTTCCAAACAATTCCTTAGTTGACTCAGGAGGGATAAAGTGTGTTTTAACAGGTGCCAAAATGTAAGACATTTTCTTCAGGCAAATTAGAGTTCTAAAACAAAAGGAAGTCTAAGCAGAACTTTTATGGTACCGCAAAACTACTAATGAGCTTGACAGGATCAAATCACACTCAGTGCTTATATTTAATTGTTAAGTAGCTTAAAGTGTAGAAAAGGGCTTGACAACGGAAAGCACCCACATACAAGGAGCTCTCTGAACTGATAGTAGACAGCCAAGGGATAAGACAACTTTAAAAAAAAGGCAGTTAATATGAAACAAACGGGAACCCTGCAGCCAGCTGAAGGAGAAAACTGCTCCTTGGGCTAGGACCATATCATAACTAAATAGGAAAGACAAGAATGCCTAGGGGCCTGAAGCCAGAGAGGTTAGTATCACATCCTGAAAGTTGAGCCACTGAAGCTGGCTGTAGGGCCAGCTGGGATAGTTTCCAAACTGTATTTTACACACCGACAAATCTGAAGAGATGGCAGTTTTAAACTCTTCCCACCACCTTAGAATTAGTGACCTCACACAGTGCATCAAATACATCTGAGCCTAATCTGGACCTACATGCTTAATTTCTTTCTTACAGGAACACAGTGGCAGCAAAGAGATACCATGATAAACTCCATTTTACAAACCATGGTTTGAATAAACTCCAGTTTATTGTGACATCCATTTGCAGGTTGCCCAACAAATTGTGGTTTGTTGGTGGGTATTGAACCAGGATTCTAATTTATATCTTGTTTGTTAAATGTGATTAGTTCTAAGTGTACTTTCTCACTATGATTGAACTGAGAAATCTCAGTTTGTTCACCTCTGTGATATCTGGATACAGAATCTGGTTCACAGAAAAGAAAAAACTAGCTGTTTCAGTGGCATCCAGCTGTCTGCAATGTTTTTGCAGAGCACACCTTCCCTGCTAGTGGTGACTCACCAGCAAGTCTGAGTGGCTTCCATCTTCTCCCAAAGGGAAATTTAAATGGTAATGGGACAATGGGACTTAATCACAAGCTTTCATTCAGTTTGCTATGACTCCACACAAAACAGTCAAAAGCAGTTTACATCTCACCTACTGCCCTGCTTCCCTCCCTCTTCAAACCTTTCCCTTTATGTCCTAGGAGAGACAGCAAGTAAGTGAGCTAGCCACAATCATGGGTTTCAATCCCCAGATTTTCAATATTTGGAAAACTTTAAAAGATCTGTTTTTACAATTTAAACGGGGGAGGGGTTAGGGAATGTAGTGAAGCAGCAATGGTGGGCAGGGGGCTCATTGGCTTAACTAAGAGCAACGAAAAGACCTTAAAGGAGGGCGGGACTTATTAGAAAATCCCCCATCCATTTATTACAGCCAGCCAATAGCAAGCTCCTTGCATATGTAGTGACACAATTTGCCAGCACCCAGACAATGCAAGAAAACTTGAGATGGTATCCAGAGATTCTGCTGAGTGGTCAGACAAGAGCCAAGCAAGCAAACCTGTGGTCTGCTATGTTCATCCAATAGACTAACCAGAGCTTGTACAATAAACACCAAAAGACTAACCAGAGCTTGTACAATAAACGCCAAAAGCTTTCAATGCTGACTTAGGAAGATCAGAGAAGCAACAAAAAGAATCTTTGCACATGGACATATTTATTCCAGTCATGCTTTTGGGGAGACTGAAAATGGCTTTCTCTTTATAAGCCATATTGGAGAATGTTTGGAACAGTATGAAGACAAAGGAAAGTCAGTTGACTTAGCTGAGCGAATGTTGCCAATACAAATGGATAAAAACTATTTATGTACATGCACACACATTGTGAAAGAAACAAGATATTCAACAGTAATTGGGAAATTAACCAGTCACACCCATAACAAGTATTTGAGTTACAAAAAGCAGCACAAGTTCAAGGACACAAAACTATTGCCAGATAGTGTAAAACACATACCTGTAGACCATTTCATTAGGAGCGCTGTCATCGAAGGCATAGTCAAAGCGGAAAGTTTGGTTTTCTAAGTACCTTGTTAAATCTACTTTTTGTTTAGGTTCATGTACCATCACGACATCTTTGCTAGGGATTGTTATTACATCAAGGTCTTTCATTACAGTTTCTAAAAAGTAAATAAATTAGCATTAATGTTCAAGATACATGAACTTCAGTGATGCAAAACATACATATCCAATATAATGAAAGAGTTTGAAACAACTTATGATAGAAACAATCTAGCCTAGTATTTGCAGGTTACATTCAGACATCATATAAACCCTAATTAACTAGAAGTCTGTTGGCACAAGGCATAACTGCTGCACGTCTGCAGGATTTATTCATAACCTTTGCTTCTGCCCTCCTGTGCACAAACTTGATAGAATACTTACTAGTTTTAACGTTCTCACCTACCCTAATGTCTGAATGCAAGTGCACTGGCAAACTGGAGGTGGAGGAGCTGTCATCATGCCAGCTGCCAACAAATCTTTGCTTAATTAGAATTTGTTGTGAGGTCTGAATGCAGCCAGAGTGCCAACTGTTATCCTTACACTTTAATATACCAGGCATATGGGGATTAGTAAAAATGACCTCTCATACTACAATACTGCTGTCCAATTTATTGAAAGCTTTATAAATGTATCTGTTCCCAGTCCTTTTTCCTAGAAGTAGACTATTCTATAAAACAAACAATATCAATGTTTTTAAAGGACCTATAATTGTCACAGCTTGGTCATAAGCCATTTGACATATATATATCACCATTCTTAAAGAACATCACCTATCTTCAGCCACGTAAGAGGTATCCAGCTTGATTTCATCAGATCATACATTAATTGGTAACAGTGGGTGTTAATTTTATGAAATGCCCGAATTGTATAAAATGCAATAATATACACAAAGACCACTGTTTCAAGAGACATACAAAAGTCCTTCGTATGTACAGTCAAATATATTTGTGTGCCCCATTTCTGGCACTTCTTTAGGCATAGAATTGAACATGTTGTTTGCACTCTCATACAGACAGCTCTGCTTTAAAAGAAGCGTTCCGATTCTGAATCATTACCATCAACTATCCCATTAAAGAAAGCAAATGAAGTTTAGCAGTGGTATGTACATATACAATTTTGTAACTGTGCAACTGGGGAAACAGACATTTCTGTAATATTTGAAAGGAATATGGATATACCACTGGAAGTACTAGAAAATATTTGAGAACCTGCTGCAAGAACCATACTGAATAATTTGCCATTTACGATGTTTGCAAGCTGAATACACAGAACTAGCCTTTGAAAAATAGTTTTAAGCTTTTGTCGTGATTTATTACTCATTTTATTTTTCAGACGAAGGACCTCTCAAAATTTCAGATACACAAAACAGCAAGAGGCTAACAGGGAGAACCAGTCACGGGACAGTGATTCTGATTGTAACTCTTCCTAATCCGTTATATTCATGCCTTTTTTTAGATTGTTGAAGGTACACACTGTTGCTTCATTATGTAGCACAATATGCACAGGTACGATTTCAACCCATAATATCAATATATTCAAAAAAGATGCTCAAAGAACTTAAGCCGAGGAAGGCATTTCAGGAAGAAGGCCAAATACATCTAAAATTGAAGATACAGTTAAATGCACAGGGAAGCAGTTCTCCACATATCATCTAGCAGCTTTGCAACTCTTTCTTCCCAAGGCCCTCAGATGGGACATTATGTAATCACCCAGTTACATAATTACAGTGTCATCCCCCCCCAAATTCCATTACAACTCCAGTGTTTCTCTTTATCACACTAATACTTCATCTAATGAAACAGTACAGGGATATCAGAAGCCTCAAAACTTTCAGGTGATAAAAGTTATTTACACACCGCTAGGCATTCAGGATTTTGATTAAAGTTATGTATAGCCAGAATTCAGATAAAATAATGTTAATAATGTTTAAGCTATTTTTGGTATATTAGCTGAACTTGGAACATTCCAGTAGCCGTCTATGACTGCCTTCCTCTCGGAATTTGGAATGTAAAAGCTCTCTATATTTAAAAGGCTTAGAAGATTGTCAAGGTCTGTTTTGTTGCAATAGTTGTATTTTAACTAATGATTTCTTTTGTAGTTTTGATTGGCTATTGCTGTTTTAAAAATGGTATACAGGTTACCCTGAGATTTGGAGAAGCAGGAATAAATGTTTTAAATTAATAAAATAAAGGTTACGATAACCTGTTTGACAAACACTGCAATGCTTATGAGCCCAGAACCCCTGCAGAAAGAACAGCATATGACTGGTATTTCCACGTAAAAGGTTTCTAGTTCTAAGCCAGCAGATCTTTCAAAAACATATCTAAATAATCGTAATAATTTCAATACATTCATTACACATCAGCAGGAGACTCTTCTATCCCTAAGTCAGGACTAAAACTTCAAGTAAATACAATTTGATTATTCCCTTGGAGTAGTAGATACTTTTGACGAAAGGAGAACTTCTGTGAGTTAACAAAGAACTCTTCCCCTGAAAAGGGGCTATTTGCCCTCCTGCAGGACATCACCCTGTCTTTATAGGAAATGAGAAAACATTCCATCATTTTGTGCTCAGACACCTCTTGAGACTGGGAGCTTGAAGTATCACAGGTTTCTGATTCAGATACATGAGTTACATTTCCTCCTAAAGGTACAAAGTGAGGAATGTGGTTCAAGTTTGAGGTCACATTTCAACTAACAAAACCCCCTGCTTGCTGAGGCTAACAAGTAAATGAATTTTCTACAGATCCAATTATCTATATACAGTAATTTCAGAATTTCAGACTGAATTCAGAATAAAGCAGAACACTGTGAGTGGAAACTGGCTTTACTGTAACAATTCTGCCATAGGTGTCTGGAAACAATTGTTAAATTAGGTGATGACTCAGTGAAAATTTGGGAACGTCTCTCTCCATTTTCTCAGCTCTGAACTATTTTACCATTGAATTTGACCATTTATAACTGATAACAGAAAAAGTATTCAACAATGTGAAATAAAAATTATTACACATCCCCTAGACAATCAGATAATAGTCTGCTAAATATTAAAAGCCATACCTTTTTTATTGAGTGGTCGCTTTCGAACACAAACACATATCCTGTGTTCATCAATCTAAAAAAAAACAGATAGTCAATTAAGTGAGAAATGATAAACCAAATTTAAACCCAACTGGCAAACTAACAGCAATCATTCTGAGATAAGACCAGAATCAATCCAAATTTCCACAAGTTACAAGCAAAATGTACAAGAAAGCATAACTTCTAAAGAGGAGTGAACTCTCCACAGCTCAGACAGAGATATTTGAGGATAAATGGTCAAAAATATGGTTTTATTAGAGATGGAATTCAAGCTCAGAGCACCATAGTGTACCCAACATTATCAGAAGCACTAAGGAATACTAGGTGCCCCACTTAATTCTCTCTTACACACCATCCCTGGTGTCTCTGCTGATGGAATCCATTGGGAAAGAAATGGGAATATTCTTGCAGCTCTCTAACTCTATCTTCCTCTGCCAAATGTATTCTGGGAACTGTACTGGTTCTGGGATAGCAAGTATGTACTTCATTCTGGAAATGTATTTCCCAACATTCCTGATAGTTAACATACCACATTCTAAGAACTGTACTTCCCATACTGCGATGGGGAGAGAGAATGAAGTTGAGTGGAAGAATGACGACAGACAAAGCTACAACACTGCAATTCTCTCTACCCTCGGTTGCCTTGCAGTGCCACTCCACTGCTCTTCTTGCAACAGATCAGTTGGGGCAGGGCAAAAAAAAAGAGGAAGGGGAAGTCTTCTCTGGCTCAGTCAAATTTATCTTATCTCATCATTATTCATCTCACTATTATTCATCTCACTTTTGAAGATGGGTTTTCCAAAATGTTGTACTCTGAGCCAAAGGACTATATCAGTACCTCCGCTAAGGTCATATATTGAATTCACCACCATAAATACTTGAAGCTCCAAGCAGGGACACATTCTTTACAGATTCTCACCAGTGATGTAGGTTTTCTGGGAAGAGTTCACAAGTTAATTTATCCATCTTATATCACTGAATAAGACATAGCTGCAACTTTATTAACACTAGGGCTTTGTGAATTTGATTACCAATTGGTTTGGGTTTTTGCAAACAGTTGGAATCTTACATTCTCAGCCTCTATTCTAATCATAAAAGTACATTTAGGAGTCTGAGATCATTGGTTACTATGACTGAGATCTCGGGATTCCCAGCTCAGGAAAGCAGATTATACCCATGAAAGATAAAAGCAGCCCAAAGTAGCATCTGAACTGGCTCTTAGTTAAGATGTTATTTTATTACTAACCAAACAATAGAACAAATATACCTCTATATGGAAACAATAAAGTTATTATTGACAAACAGTGAATTCTGATTATGTTTTCTTAACTGACAGCTCTTGATATCAAAGAGTACAAAGAATAACAAAACTGATAATCTGAGAGTAGGTTTTCCATTAGGACATAGTTCTCAGACAAGTTCAGATCATACCAAAAATTGCCAGGCTCATATAGGTGCAGAAGTTTCAAAGCATGTGATAAGCATCAGCACACCACTATTTGGCCACAACATGCTGGGTTAGATGCCAAAAACTGTGTGTAAGTACAGTTCTGCTCATAGAATGCAGCTTTCCTGCCTTTCTCCTCCAACTACAGCTCTCATTCCCCCCCCCCGACCTCAAAAATAGCGTGGGATGGGGCTTCTATTGAGCAGAGGGGAATCCACAGAAAATGAGGACCTCCTCCCTTTGCTTAATCAAGTACTTTCATGGTAACACATAATCTCTTATTTTAAGTTTCGAAAATTCCTGTAGTGCAGAAGTATTAAAATAAAACTTACAGGATCCGCAGTTGTCAGTGGTCTATAATCCAGGCTTCCCCGGAAATCTCTAATCATATACATAATTTCATAATTTGGGTTTGTAGCATCAACATCCTAAAAAGAATTAAAAAATGGTGACCAACATTTCAGCATATAGTTTTCTTCAACATTCATATAAGGTTTGCAGAATTGACTATATATGCTTGAAATAAAACGGACATACAGTAATATCTGCATAGTATTAAATTCTTCTATGGTTTATCATAAATATTTTAGAACTTACATCCCAAAGGGGCATTCTACATATAATTAGGGCTTTATCTTCTGTTACAGTTGACAATTACTCCCCCCACATCAAATCAAACTTGCTAATATTGCAACCTGCATCATTCATTTTACTCTTGTCTAGACCACATTCCAGTGAACAGCTCTGATCCCCTTACTTTCCACACCACCTGAATATGCAAACTGAAAATCTCTCCAAGTATAGTATTGTTTGTTTAGCTGACAAATCAAAATGACTTCTGTTATACGCCAAAATTAAAACATGCAATCAGCTACTTTCCTTTGAAAGTGCATGTTTTCATTTCATGAGATAAAGATCTTTGATGAGAATTATACCAGACTGTCATTTTCTTAAGACATGAACTACAGTGAATACACATACAAGAAAGAGTAAAGCACTATAATTACAAATAGTACTTTAGGTATAATCTCATTACTACTGAATAGTAAAATGATGGCTCACAGCAATCACAAAAGCACCAAAACCAGACCAACCCACAGAAAAAGCAGGTGCTTCTACGTACTTGAGGAAGTTCCAATTTTACCGAAAAATATAATTTCATAAAATTAACTTTAAAACCCACAAAAAGATCTGATGAGGACTGAGCATGTTACAACAGTTTGAGAATCCATTAAAGGGGAACAGGAGATGAGTAAATCAACTTGATGCACCCCCTAAATTATTACAGAATCCAGGGGAAGGAGGGTTTCTCTGTCATTGTTCTCCCTGTCTCCCACCTGTAATCCCAAAATGCAGAAAGCAGCCTTAAAGAAATCAAACTAGATATCGAGTTTTTCCAGCCTATGTTAATGTCAGAGCTCCTGAATAAACAGCAGCAAGTCCACTGAACTCAGTGTCAAGGAGCTTCCATTTGTGCAGTTACCCCAGTGCTGAACACCTTCTGGAAGTCCATCTACACCAAAAGCCATATATGCATCAGACACACACAAACTGTGATTCTCAGCCTATGCACTGAGTTGGTCTGTAGTAGAACAGCTAGATTCGAGTCACATGAACACATGGACACATGAAGCTGCCTTATACTGAATCAGGCCATCGGTCCATCAGGGTCAGTACAGTCTACTCAGACTACCAGCAGCACTCCAGTATCTGAGGCAGAGGTCTTTTACATCACCTATTATCTGATGCTTTCAACTGGAGATGCCAAGGACTGAACCTGGCACCTACTATATGCCAAGCAAGCAGATGCTCTACCATTGAGCCATGGCCTCTTGTATCTGATGACAGGAGCTTTGTCTCTCAAAAGCTCATACCCCAAAAAATTTGTTTGTCCCTAAGGTGCTACTGGACTCGAATCTAGCCCATGTGTTTAATTCTTTGCAAGAAGATAACTTTCATTCCTCTTTAACAAAGAAAGAAAAATCCCCACATCTCAGACGTTTAGCCCCAGCAGTACAACTATCAAGTTACATGAAAGCCAACATTACATCAGTAGGAGATTGCAAGTCTCACATTAGACTAGAAAACATAACACACAAGCCTGCCAACAAGATTATGCTGCTGGCTGTACTACAGCATCTGCTTTGTGACAGAATTAATAGGAATTTTATTACAAGATCAGCACCTTATTGGTTTAAAAGAGTGACTGAGCTTACTGCTACAATTTCAACCAAAGTGAGCCCAGAAGCTTGCAGAATTATTGAAATAACGACTTACATCTTAGGTTCTCAAACATGGCAACTTAGCAGCAAAAGTATAGCTCTGGTTTTAGCCATTCGTTTTTAGAAAATGAATTAACTGGCGTGAATAGCTGGAATATGAGCACAATTATAAATAAGGCAACACAAACCTGAGCCCGTTTCTCTCTTAGTTCCTGCTGTTGCAATCTTCTTTTCTCACGTTTTTCTTGCAGTTTTTCAACCTCTTTCACACAATTAGATTTTCTACGTGCTTAAGAGGAAAAGAGTCATTTTCTTTTTGCCATTCATAAAAGTGCACATTTTATTAGTAACACTTTTATCTGCTTTCATTAAATAATTTTCTAAGCAATTTAGCCTAAACTGGGCTTAATTGCTATGATCTGACTGTCGACTTAATACCTCATATTTCAGGTATATGGACAGTGGACAGTGACAGTCCCTTAAACACACTCTGACTTATACATGTGATTCTCTTGGTTAGACCTACTAAAATGTCAGGTCAATTTTCATTCTCAGTCTACAGTTTTAGAAAAACTGAAGTTTTACGAATATTCTGTTACCAACACGACTATGGAAGAACAATCACACTGTGATTTCTCAAAGTAGACATAACATTGGCACAGACTATTCACTACTTAATGAATTATATAATTGTCCAAGAGAGTATACATGTAATGCCTAAAATGAATGAATCCTTGATACATGATTTACATACAAGGGGGTCCAAATTCCTTTTTTGCAGCTTGAACTGGAGATATATCTGAAACACTACCATTCTGTTGTGTAGAGGAAGACTGTTCAGGAAGTTGAGTAGGCCGCGCACGCGCAGAACCAGCCACTGAAATTTTAAAAAAGAAACATATTTAAGAAAACTAGCCAAAACTGGAAAGTGTCCTTGTTTCTCAACAAGAAAAGTTCTTCTAAATTATCACAATATTGTCCAAATCCAAGACAATTTACTTTTAAAAGAAACCATAAAAGCACACTCTGAACACAAGCAGGTACATCAGGAGATCGTACCATGAGACAAACCAGCATTAGAACTAAAATACATAAATCATCATCAGTCCTTATGTTAAAATTCATGCCTCAATGCCACATTCTTATTAAAGTTAAGATTCATTTCAAAGTGAGATGAATTGCTGAATCCAATCTCCCTTCATGACAGCTTAGCTTCCAGAAACATGTAACAGCAGAATAAAGCTGGAAGAGAAGCATTCACAAGGACAGGTGGTAGGCAGTTTCTCATATTTTGCATGAGCACCTCCTGTGACTTGCTTACACCCCATCTGCACATCAGTGCAGGTACAACACAAAATGTCCATATATGTTAAATTTTAATACCCTGTCCCAATCTTATTTATTTGATTTTTATCCTACTTTTTGACCAGTGTACCAAAGTACCTGACAGTCATTCATAACACGTGATAAAATCCCTTGTAAAAATTAAAATGATAGAATAAATGGACCTGTGGAGAAACATGTAGATGGGAGAAAATCAGGTTGAAAAACAGAACTTTAAATATGCTAAACGCAGAAAGTAAAACAAAACAAGAAACTGAGAAATACAAACTGAATAAAGCAAAACAAACCCTCCAGATGTTGAGAATATGAATTCTTCTAAACATTAAGGAGGTGGAATGGTAGAAGAATCAACACACAGTTGGTCCAAGATTAGGTGTCTGACATCTTCACCTGGCTACCCACCTGTACTGGCTGTCATAGGCCAGTTGGTCTTACATAACCATTGTGGTGAGAAAGGGGCAGCTCTACTGAACATGGAGCAGGCATGTTATGATGTCTTTGCTTGCTGTTCTGTCTCCTGTATTTTTTATAGATATAGATAAGAGGTGGTGCAGGAGTATTTTACTAAATCCAATGACAAGCTAGTCAGGGCGAGGAATGCATTGTGTGGAGGTTCACTCCATTCCAGGCCTCTAACAGATCCCTCCCTCCAACCCCTGTGCTTTGCTCAGGCTGACCACGAAACCTAAAACTGTTTTAGCAGAATTGTGCAATTTCTTGTGTTTGCCAGCACAGGTAACCGGGACACAAGACTGCAGAGAATCAGCGAAAATAATTCCAATGAAAGAACAAACAGCTGGTGTAACGGTTAAAGTGACAGACTGAGGAGGCCCTGGTTCAAATCCCAAGTTTGCCAGGAAGCACAACTGGGTGACCATGGCCAATCATTCTCTCTCAGACTAGCCCACCTCACAGCACTGTTATGAGGATAAAAAATGAAGGAAGAGAAAATCACATTTGCCACTCTTTAAGTTCTTCGAAGGAAGGATAGAATGATAAGTTAAGAATAAAAAACAAAGTTGTTCAGCCCTAACTGATGTTCATGCAGCCAACTGTGCAGTTTCACAGCTGGATCCTGAACCTGTGCAGAACATCCTCTTGCTCTGATGAGTAGGATCAGCACCTTAGTTCCTTCCACCCAGCCATGAAGCTTAAATGAAAATACTAAATAGAGAAAAGTCCTAGTAGTAGTAATATGTTGATCAGTAGTAATATGTATTAGTAGTAATATGGGGGGGGGTGTTGTTTAAAATAAATCCAGAAGCTACATGTTTGTATCCATCAGAGTAATTCACTATAATTGAAAATTATGCTAATGACTTTTAAAAATATTTTGTATGAAGTAACTGATAAATAGAAGAAGAAGAGATTGGAATTATACCCCGCCCTTCACTTGGCGTTTCAGAGCGGCTTACAATCTCCCTCCCTTCCCCTCCCCACAACAGACAACCTATGAGGTAGGTAGGGCTGAGAGAGCTCTTTCAAGGACTGCTCATGAGAGAACAGCTCTGAAAAACTTGTGACTGACCTAAAGTCACATCAGCAGCTGCATGTGGAGGAGTGGGGGGATCAAACCCGGTTCTCCCCGATTAGAGTCCAGGCTCCTAACCACCACACCAAACTGGCTCTATGCTAAATGTCTAGGCTAAAAGTGAACCCTCTCCACTACTGAAAGACCTTGCCTCACCATGTGAATGGTCCTCTTAGCATGTGCACAGTGAGACAGGAGACACAGCATCATTTCTCTCTACCCAGGCACATTATCAGCAGGTCCTTTGTCAACAGTAATGGGGAAATGGCAGATTTACAGAGGCTCGTGGCTCAAAAGGTGGGGCACTGGGACCATAACAGGGTCCCAAAACTGCTTGATTAAGTAAAAATAGGAAATACTTGGGGACAGTATTGGGCATAAGTATTCCCTTGTTCCTGCATAAATGTAAGAAAGATGGATCATAATGGAGAGCAAGCAACTCGATAGTAATGGCTACCAGAAATGGTGCTTTAAAGGAAGGGAAACAGAGAATGCATAGGACCATGAGTTCAAAGGTTTTAACTTTGAGCTGAGAAATCTTCAAAGAAAGATTCCAAGCCAGAACTTGGGGGAAGCGCAGATGGATACACATTTAGGAAGACCGTTACAGAAAGGAACACACATTGTGACCTTCAGATGGAGGTAAAGGTAAAGGTTCCCTTGCTCGAAAGCCAGTCGAGTCCAACTCTAGGATTGTGGTGCTCATCTCCGTTTCAAAGCCGAAGAGCCAGCACTGTCCGAAGATGTTTCCGTGGTCATGTGGCCAGCATGACTATGCACCAAGGCACACGGAACGCTGTTACCTTCCCACTGAAGTGGTACCTATTTATCTACTTGCAATTTTTTGCTTTCAAACTGCTAGGTTGGCAGGAGCTGGAACTAGAGACGGGAGCTCACTCCGTCATGCAGCACACTCGGGTCTCGAACTGCTAAACTACCGACCTTCCACAGCCTGCAGTTCAGCGTCTTAACCACTTGAGCCACCGCAGCTCCTCTCAGATGGAGGTAGGGGATTTTAAGTAGGTATTGTCAAAATATAACCAACAAAGAAAATGCCTCATATTATAGAAAAAGACGTAACTTAAGATGTCCATTAGACAGCAGGACAAAAGGTACACAGTTTGAAAGGAAGTACAAGTGCAAAATCTACTTTGCCTACAGGAGTATCTGATGGATGGATTCCAAGTATATATAACTGCTTAAGATTGGAAGGGATAGTCAATGCAGATGTTTCTTCCACAATCTGAGGCTGTTCTGACACTGTGGTACAAGACTGCCTTTTACAATTTGAGGCTGACAGTTCTGACACTGTGGTACAAGACTGCCTTACAGACTTGAAATAGGAGATATCAGGTGGATGATAGGCAGACTGCTGGTCAGACTAAGGAGCTGCTGGACAGACTAAGGAGCTTGGAAATCACGTCAATCATGCCTCACAGGAGGAATGTGAGGAGGTAGTATGGGCACAAGGGATTATGGGGAGCAAACATATAGGAATAATCCTGCCCATTCTTTCATGGATATTTTCTCATGAGCTGTGTCCCTGACTTGCCCTTGGACAAAGCTTAGTGTTTGTGGGGTCAGCAAAAAAAAAAAAATTACATGAAGCAATCCCCATATTCAAAATACAAGCTAGAAACAAATGCCCAAAAGAGTCTCTCTGGTTCTGCTCTAAATATCTGCTATAAGTTGTTGGTTTTGGCAAAAGACCGCACCTGGCACAATGACTGGTTTGGAATTACGGAGTCCTTCAAACTGTGCTGCTCTGTTCATGCATGTAATATTTGATAATGACATTGGCTGTTGTTACCTGTACAGTTCTACTCTCTAGGAGACATGTATGACAAGATTGGTATTAGCCAAAGAAACAATTAATCCAAAGGCCCTGACATCAGAGATATGATGATAGATGCTCAGTTCCAATACATGGTGGCAAAAGGTAGTCTAGTACTGAGTTGATAAAACAAACAGTAGCATATATTGCATCTGTGATTTTCCTATCATGAAGCACAAGCTTAGAGAAGCCAACAAGTTGAAATGTAGACCTCACTAAACCCTGGAAAAAGTCTCACCTATGACAATAATTTCTGTAATGTAAGATTGGAAGGCCCCTATGGCAGAGACAGGGAACATGCATTTGAAACAGCAGCTGAAGGCAGGTGCTCACAGGACAGATTTAGGAAACAGGGGATTTCTTGGAATATGCTTGAACTTCTGGCACTGAACAATTATCTACATCGCACTCTTCTCAAAGTAAATCAAACAGCATCATACTATCCAAGTAGGGACCTCTTTTTACAAATGTAACACTTCTTAAGGGCAGCCCACTGCAGCATAGGTGTGTGGGCAATAAGTGAAGAACAACCTCACTGCAAATAAAAGAATATAAAGTAAAGAAAGTTTTTTAAAAAAACAAAATAATGCAGGACTCCTATTTATACTCCCTAGAACTTAAAATGAATAAACTGAGCCTACTGTACTTCATGTCACATCATAACACGACAAGAATTACTGGAAAAGACAATGAGACTAGGAAAAGTTGAAGGCAACAGGAAAAGAGGAAGACCCAACATGAGGCAGACTGACCCAATAAAGGAAGCCACAGCCTTCAGTTTGCAAGACCTGAGCAAGGCTGCTAACAGTAGGACATTTTGGAGGTCATTAATTCATAGTGTCGCCATAAGTCAAAAGCAACGTGACAACACTTAACACAAACCTCCTAGCTATAAGAAAAGCACCTTAATCAAAAAACTTCACAGAGAAGGTTCTGAACAATGCTGCTATCAGTCTTTGAAAACGAACTTCAGGTGCATTTATCCCATCTATCAGAACAGACACAGAGGCGGTACCTCTCCTCACTGGTAGGGAGAAAGCTCTAGAGGGCTCCAAGAATGCTCTGTACAGAAGAACCCAACTGTGGAACTGCACAGACACCTTTCCAGTTTTACTATAATATGAATAGGAAAAGGGGAATTGCAAATGAAGTGCTGTTTGTTTTAGGTAGTGCAGTGGTAAGTACAACAAACCTACAGGAAACCTACAAGAAACTATTTTGCCTTCATCATCAGAATTTGGCATAATTAAAAAAGTGGAACTTATCACCTTTTAATATTCTAAAATGGCAAATACATAAAGTAATTTAGACTTACCTCTGTTGTCTCTAGTAGGAGCTTCAATTTTAGAAGGAGCTACAGTTCTCCGATTCTAAAAGGGGGGAAAAACATTCTATAATTTGTTTATAGCACTTGTTCAATACTTTGTTTTTGCTCTGCTATTTGCTTTTTAGATAGACAAGCTAATTTAAAGATTAGCAGACCTACTCCTTGAACAGCTAAGAGGTAATACAAGATCAGCACAAGTTATATTAGAAATATCTCTAGTCTCTTCCACAAGGCAGGAAGCAAGTATACACGGGATTTTCTAAAGATGTTCAACTTGCCAATACAGCATTAGATTAAAAAAACATAGGCAACAAAACAGATTTTAACTACTCGACCTTTTTTGAAAATCTAAAAAGGTTATTAAAATTACTTCCACACAGAAAAAAAGAGTTTTAATTCCCCTGTTACAATTTTACCTGTACCACCTTGTCTCACCAGAGGATTAGGTTTCTGAGTGTGACGGTTCAAAGACTCAGGTTACACTTTCCCCACTTCAGAAGCAATGACTGGCTTTTTAGACCCCAAAACTTAAAAGCTCGGTCATATAGGGAAAATACTGTACTGGTTTGGGGAGTCCAGGAGTTAATTCAAACTATTTGCATACATGTGTTTCAGGTTTCCATTTATATTAGTTATAAAACTATATGTTATATTTTGAAGAGCTTAACTCTTTTTGCTCCCTAATTTTGTTTCTCACATCCAGATTCAAAAGATTTCTGGTCAAAACAACATTCCGGGAAGAGGTGGAACAGATCTGGTTTTTTAGAGTGATAAATATTGGCCTGCATCCAGCCAGCCATGCATAAAATGCCGTTTTCCTATGTTCTTCACTGTTCCTGTAGTGCCTCCTGATCATCAGGGTTGCATAGGTTGGAGGAGCTGGACTGAGGAGGAGCAATGGAGTGAAATCACTCCCCCATCCTCTTTCTCAAGTGCAGCTCCACTGAATGGAAGGGGTGACTTCATTGCCTTGCTCCTTCTCACACAGTCCGCCTCACAAGCCCAGGAATGATCTTGGGGGAGGGGAGCAGAAGGGACTGCAGAAAGGAAACTAATGCAGAAAAACCACATGTGCCTCCCATGCATGGGTGGCTGGACACAAAGAGACCAACAAGATTTTGAGCTTTCAAGAGTCAACACTCCCTTTGTCGGATACAAGTAGAAAGAGATTCATCAGATACAAGTTCTTAGTATCAAAACATTGATCAAAACATCAGACATGAACAAACATAGCAATATTACCAATAAAGGACACTACTCAAACATTCCCCTTAAGGTATCCCTTCTGACAACAAACCACTGTTAAAGTTTAGCTAATGTCTTATTTGTACATCAAAGACAATAAACAATTCTAATAAAATGTCTTAACAGGTTACAAATAAACAGTGTTACTTTACTCTATGTTCATCTTGGTGACAATGGAAAGTGCCATCAAGTTGCACTCAACTTATGGTGACCCTGTTGGTTTTTTCAAGGCAAGTGAAGTTTAAAGGTGGTGTGTCACTGCCTGCCTCTGTGTAGCAACCCTGGACTTCCTTGATGGTCTGCCAGCCAAGTATTATCCAGTGCTGACCTTGCTTAGCTTCTCAGAACTGATATCAGACGAGCCTGGGCCATCCAGGTCACAGCATGTTTATCTTAGCTGCTCTCAATGTTGAAATGGCATTCCATAGACTGAAGAGTCTGCAGAGGATTTCTGCTGATGGAACAGAGGGGCCAGTATTCACCAACTACCATCCCTTGCTGTTCCTAAGACTTCCCTGTTACCTACAAGCAACATTCTGGGTTGTTGCAAGAGGATGGAAGATGCTGCACTAGCAGAAGTTCTGGTAACAAAAATCCTTCATCAGTAGAAATATTTGGCCGGATCCAAGCAGCTGTCTCTAATATTTATCACTCTAACAGAAAACTATTAACCCTAGAATTCTTGAATAAGCAAGAAGCAAAGTGAACTATGGAAAATTCAATGATGATATAGCACTAACCTTCACAATTTTGTTTACTTTAGCTGAAGGCGTTGGAGGTGGTGGGGTCTCTGGGCTGGGATCATCATCTTCAGGAGCAAGATCCGGGTTAAGTGAAAATATACTTTCCAAGTCAATCTGCATTTAAAAAATGAGTCACATATGACAATAAATATTTATTGTGTTTCTATTTTAAATAACCAACAGGACCACCCAATTTGTTTAAAGCTAAATGCCAAGGGTTTATTTGTGTTTTCTCAGTCAATAACAGCACTGTAAAAATAGATGAACTGCATGACAGCCAGATGTAATATATTTCTTAGATTTAATATGGTTGATTCACATTATACAATTTCTTATATAATTAGTTTGTGATATTATCTCAAGTTTTGCCTGCATATTCACTTTTTAAAACAAACCAAAAAACCCAACAACACTGAATTCATAACTTTAAAAAAGAGGTAGAAAGTGTGTGTATTTGGGAAATTTCTTGCCACATGAACTTCTTACATTAGTTAGCAGTTTCAAGAAAGGGTGACATGTTCTCCCAGTACCAAAGGAGTTTTCCTAGGAAAATGTGTTATTTCACAAATGCAGTACACTAATCTAATGGCCTTTGCTTCACTAAGTAACATTCAATGTTCTCAAAGACCTGTACATTTCATCATAAGTGTTTATTATTCTATATTATTACACCAACCAATGGAAAGTAATGTGAACTGGACCTAAAGAATTGACTACCAAAGGCCTCTCTCTGCCTTCTGCAACTCCTTTGTCACCCTAAAAGCTGCTCCTGAGGATGCGGGAAGCCCTCTTAACAATGAGGGATGCAATGCTGGGGTCAGCAGGTCAAGGGGAATACACAAAAATTGCTGACTCCCAGCGCAACCTATGCAAGCAAAAACGGATTTTTCTCACGCAGGGGCACCTTTGGATTCAACCCAATATTTTAGAACAACCCTTTTCTTGATTGATAAAATACTAATTTGTACCTCTTTTCCTTTAGTGTCACCATTTTCAATCCACTCAACTGTAACGCTTTCATTATCCTCATTTAGGCATGTTACCATAGCTTCATGTATTCGGCCTGCAAGGGAATCATAAGCATTCCTTCAACAAGTTATAGAATTTCCCCTGAAATTATTTCTATCTTCATTATTTCATTTGCAGATTCACTGAGTCTTTTAAAAAACACTTTTATTCTTATAGTAAGAAATTACATATCCAACAATCCAAATATTTCTTATTTTCCCCCATATTTGTTACCCAATATATGGAAAATGTTGCTATTATATGTGGGATGTCAAGAGAAAGAACACCAAAGAAAGCAGTACCAGAGACCAACAGTACCAGAGACCAACAGAAAATGAACATCCATAGTAATATAAATGTCAAGGGAATTTTGATACCTACAAGACTCCCCCCATATGGGGACCCCCCCCCCCAGTTATTAACCCCTAATGGACTTCTGGCTAGACTACCAAAGGCCTGCATAAAATATCCAGTGTGATATTACATTGGGAGCTCCTGAAACTGGCAGGAATTTCTCTAGACACTCTAAAAAGAGTGTAGTCCATCTGTTGGAATGCTCTATGGAATACATTGATAAAAGGCCTTTGGTCTCAAGCCCCTAAAGCTTTCACACATCCTGGCTAGGCAAAACTGACTCAAGCTTGCTAAATAATAAGGAAGTCTCCCAACTTGGCTGAACCCGCTCCACTCCCTAAGATAATCCAAGACCCCAAGCCATCTTTGTAAACCAGCCAAAGCTGGTACTCTGAGTAGGTAACCTAACCACCCCATCTTTGTCATACCAAAGCATATGGCATATCATGCCTACATTTGGAGTTCTTTCTGCTCCATAACCTCCACTCACCTACATTCAAAATCTGCCAATAAAAGAGGCTGTGGCTCAGTGGAAGAGCTGCTGCTATGCATGCAAATGGTCCCAGGTTCAATTCCTGGCATCTCCAAGTAGTAGGTGATGTGAAAGACCTCTGCCTGAAACCTTAAGAGAGCTGCTCCAACTTTGAGTAGATAATACTGAGATTGATGGACCAATGGCCCACTTCAATACAAGGCAGCTTCATATGTGTATTCATTGCTGAACCAAGAACCCACACCTTCAAAGCTACCCCATTGTGTTTACATATAAAAGGATACTCCAGCCCCTCCAATTCTGTAGCTGGATTCTCACCATTATCTCACAGTTCGTCTATTTCACTGAAATCAGTGAACCTCTCTGCCCCTTGCACCTCATAGCTGGTTTCTAGATTCAAGCCAGCTTCCCCAACCTGATAGCTGGTTCACTGTTTGGATTCCACTTTTGGCTGAAATCAGTGAGTTTTCCCTTCCTTTGAACTCTGGAACTGCATTCCGAGACCTGATTTTCATCATCTGCTCTTGGACTGGACTCTTGCCTATCTTTACTCTTCTGGATAAAGTTTAAATGTTTTCTTTCTCTCCTTTATTCCCCCAAAGCACTGCTGGCCTGCCTAACTGCTAGCCAGTCCCCCTTTTCCAGGTTTTTTTTAACAAAAACAACAAGAAACCAATACCTCACAGGCAGGGTAGTTTACGTAAAGCTTTCGCATTTGTTTATTGTACTGTCGTATTTTGCTGTTGTTAATAAAGATCTTTCTTATTTAACAGCTATTTTCTCCATCATTCTTTTGGAGTGCTGTCCTGAATTGGGATCCTGGTATATATAGGCAAAAGAACACCAAGTTAATTGCCCAGGTGATGCGCTGGATCTTACACACGTAAAGGACATTTTCCATGTTACAGCTCCTGCACAGGTATCTATTTGGAAAACAATTCCATGGGTATCAATTTGGGAAATAATTCCATGAGAACTATCTGAATACAAGGAACTCCCCAAACATGGAAATCAGCAGATTAGCCAACACCTATTTTGGAGAACCAAAGGAGCTACAGGTGTGCATATGCAGGAGCTATATAAACAGCTGGAGTCTTCACTGTAACGGTTACAACTGCAGTTCCCACAACTGATACGGTAAGCTGTTGTTCACTTTAAAAACAGTTTGCTTGCTGGGAGTTGGTTTGAAATTACAAAGAATGCCCTGGCTGAGCATATAGTTCCCTTGCCCTCAAAAAACTACTTTGAATCATAGTCTGTACATAGAGCATTGCAAAGAGTCCCAAACTAGTTACTAACCCACACACATACCTATGCTAATAGTTAGTGATGTAACAACGAAGTCTTTTCCTATTTACAAAAGCTTCCTTGTCTTGTTCATCCTACACTGGTATCCAGGCAGCAAGGTATTTACAAGCCTGTATGACTGCACCTAAATAACTTCTCAACATTCGTAGTTTTGGGGTTGGTTGTCATCAATATGTTGACGATACCCATCTCTGTATATCCTTATTCAAATCACCTAGGTAGAGGCCCTGAATCACTGCCTGGCTGTTATTCAAATCTCCTACTGATGAGGTAGAGGCCCTGAATCACTGCCTGGCTGCTGTGATTAACTGGCTGAAAGCAAACAAACTGGAACTGAAAAGACAGAGATGATGCTGGTTGGGAAGGTGAAGGTTTTGAAAGACAGTGCTCTCCCCACTTTTGATGATGTTCAGCTGACCCTTGGTGACTCAGTTAAAAGCCTTGGGGTTATACTGGACCCAGCATTATTACTGGAGAAGCAAGTTAATGCAGTTGCAAAAAAACCCACTTTCTACCAACTCAGACTAGCCCACAAGATGGCCACCTGGATCCATGCCACAGTAACATCGAGACTAGACTGTATTGCACTGTACATTGGTCTCCCCCCAAAATCAATTCAGAAACTCCAATTGGTCCAGAATACTGCAGCTCAGCTATTAATGGGAGTGATATGAAGCATGAGTATTACTCCCATTCTGCAGACACTCCACTGGATGTTCACTTGTTACCATACTCAATGTTAGGTATTGGCTTTCACATACAAAGCCCTTCGTGACCTTGGTCTCACTCATCTGTAGGTCCGCCTCACCTTTACAGCTTCATTCACATCAACAGGGGCTTACCACAGGTGCCAACCTACAAACAGGCAAAATCAACAACTGCTCGTATATGAGCTTTCTCTGTTATGGATCCCAGCTTATGGAATGGCCTCCCCATGGAGGTCAGGAAAGCTCCCACTCTCCTGGCTTTCTGTAAACTATTCAAAACCAAATTATTCAGGAGGCCTTTTTTGCACAGGGTTGCACTGTACAAAATGGTTCACAAACTTACTTGGATAAATTATTAGCGACTGTGGTCTATACTGCTGTGTATAACTTACTGTAAGCAGGATCCTATTATGTAATTTTTGCAGTGCTTATTATGTCTTTTTAATAATTATGCTAGGTTTCAGCTCTTTCTGGTGGTTCCAGACTTCTAAAATCCTAATGCATTGTTTGTTGAATGCTCCATTTTGGTGGCTGTACTGACTCACTATGCACAATCCACCTTGAGTCCCTGTGAGAAAGGCAGACTATAAATAACATAAATAAAAATAAATAAAATAAACATCTTATAAACTATCCTGTCAGGTAGAATGCAACAAATACTTAACTATGCACAGCATTTTCAACACCTGGGTATAATATTTTCCCCATTTACAATTAAAATTGGCTCACAATACAGTATTACAGTGACAACTACATGGTAGGATCTACGCTTACTAAAAAGTGAAATGCTATCAGAAATTTCTGTTTCAACAGTCCACATAAAGAATAGTGTTAGTAAGTTCTCTTTTTAATGTATAATTCAGGTACTGACTGATCAGGATCAGCCTTCTTTAGAAGACACAAAACGGGGTTTGGTCCTAATTTTTTAAGGTCAATTAAGACCCTATATCAAGTTCCCAAAGTACAACTTTCTATTAATGGGCATAGATCTGAGGAAATAGAAATATCTAGAGGAACTGGACAAGGTTGTCCCCTTTCTCCTTTTTTTTGCAATTTCATTAGAACCCCTAGCTTATGCAATTAGGCAAAATTTATTAATTAAAGGTATTTTAGTGGGCCCAGTAGAACATAAAATAAGTCTTTTTGCCGATGACACTGTTTTATATTTTAGAGATCCTGTTAATTCATTGAAAGAAATAGTGGCAGTATTAATTAAGTTTAGTAAAATTTCAGGATTTACTATTAATCAGGGCTATTTTGGGGCAGGAACGCACAGGAACGGAGTTCCAGCTGGCTTCAGAGTTGGCCATGCCCACTACAGTCAAAACCTCTGGGCGTGTGGCTACAGAGGGAAGGCCTGGAGAGCGACCCCCCCCAGCGACTCCAAGGCGGGTGGGCCAGGAAGGATTGGGGAGGCGTTTAAATGCCTCCCCGTGCCTTCCCCGGCCTGTCCAAGGACCAGCTTGTCCAGGCTCCCTGCAGCTGCGGGGCGCCCAGACAAGCCAAGTACAACAGTTTCTGCTGTTGGGTGTGGCCTATTATGCTAATGTTCCTGCTGGGCTTTTTCTACAAAAAAAGCCCTGCTATTAATTATAATAAAACTGAGTTATATCAGATATGGTTGACGGATTTGGTCAAATGTAAAATATCACAATTATTCCCTTTTAAATGGGTAGGGACGGCCTGGCGTCATTTGGGAGTCCAACTGCCATTAACTTTGGAAATACATAATTCGAATGTAATTATATCCCAGTGGTAAATTCAATGAGTAATTTGTTCCGATCTTGGTTGAGGGTGAATCTCACACTTTTGGAAAACATTGAATTAATAAAAACGGTTATTTTTCCTAAATTTTTATTTTCATTTCAAAATCTCCCAATTCATATCGAAAATAAAATTATATAAATATGGCAATCAAAAATAACAAAATTTATTTGGAATTCAAGAAAGCCTCACATAAATTTCCAATTATTAACTAGACCTTTAAGAGGTGGTGAGTTGGGTTTACCTAACCTAAAATTGTATTATGAGGCTTCCCAATTAAAACATTTACTTCATTATATGCCCCCGAATGTGACTAAAGGTTGGGTAAAGATTGAAAAACATTATGTTTTACCCTTTTTTATGCATGAAATTATTTGGGCACAGGCAAAAGATAGACCTAAATCATTGGAAAATAACCCCTTTTTGAAA